GTTAAAACACATATAAACTTTAATTATTTATAACTATATATTTTTCATATAAACAAAGTGACTTGAATAACTTACAAAGTTTTTAATATCTTAATATATATTTTAGTATTCAAAATGGCATTAATTTCTAATGAATTAGTATAGTATTTTATTTTTAATTGAGCTTCAAATATCTATTATATATAATGATATATCAAACTCCTATTAAGTTAATGACATTAGTTGTGTACGATTAATGGCACGCATATAATTTTTAAAACAAACAATACTCGGTAATGAACTATGTGCAGCAATGATTTAAAATCCGACTTATTTCAGTATATTCAGCGGTCAGCCTTTAAATGGTTCAATAATATAAAGTCGTATATGTAGAAGTTAAATATTTTTCATGAAAAAGGCTAGATTTTTAAAAAGTTCTATACTGTTATATTATATTATTATTCATTTTGGGAACTTGAAATTAGAAAATGATAATAAATAAATATTTGGAATTATATTACATTACATTTACTTTTTACAAAATACGCTTATATTGTTTATACAAAATATTTAAATTTCTATCAGACATAATTTATAATTAAAATAAGGTTTTATAACATATTGACTAAAATAGTTAGTATTTTTATGCTACCTGAGCGCCACCTTGCAGACTAACGAGGAAACTCTCGAACAACAGGAATGCACACACGTTACTCGCTATATAAATACTTTTTATTACTGAGATGGAAGTACACAAAAGCATAAATTCAAACATTTCATATTACTCCAAAGAAATTCTGGAAAATTAATCACGAGATTTTATATTAAGATTTGTGAGAACACGCACTGAAACACTAATTTTTCTAGCAAAGTGAATTAATGAATCTTTATTTTAATTGTAATTTTTCTACTTCGTAATATAATTGAATAATGACTTTGATAATAAATTGAATATATTATTTTATATACATTTCATACTTTATAATATTCTGCGATTAGTTTGTTCAACAGAATAACAGGAGTTTGACATTATTAATTATAAATGTTGTAAATAGCACTATCGTTAATGCTAACTAATTTTTGCGTTATGTAACAAATGTTTGTATGTCGTTATAGCAATAGGTATATGATAAAGATAGCTTATTGCATTAATAGCGATGAAAAAAAAAGTAATACTGAGTAGATATATGAATTTTGAGTTAGAAATACTTTAAATTAAATTACATATATTTGAGTTCCATATTTTGAAGTACAATGATTATAATCTTTCACTTAAATTTTAAAAGAAAAAAAAAAAGAACTTCTAATACTAGTGCATTATGTCAAATAATCAAAATTTCTGATCTTGGCTCTTAATAAAATGGATCAGAATATTAATATTTAGATAATATACAATTTTTTAATTATTATATTATATCAGTCTAAATTAAATCATAATATTGTTTTTCATTAAACTTTATAAGATCATCATTTTTATTAACTTTTTCTCACTGTCTTATTGTGTAAAATATCAAGCAATTGTATATTTCAGAAATTAAAACAAATTAAAAGTATATCAACACATTTACATATTTCATTTACATCAATATTTTCGCCCAAAGTATAGTCATTAAGGATTGTAACATTATTGTAATTATTAAAATTGTAGAATGTTTACACGTTTTAAAAATAATATCCAGCCATCGAAGATTCAAAGAACAAGATAAGAAAGTAAGGTTGAGTTTGTAGTGAAGCAGCATTTTTAATAATTTTATTTATATTTCGTCAATTTCTCAACATTTAACCAAATATGTAATAATTTTATTGCAAGTTATATTTTTAATGGAAATATTCCTACCAAGTTCTTTTAGAATTACAAATCTTGGACGTCTCGGTAACGTCTCGTGCGAATATTGTGGATATCTCTGCTTTTGGTATCTAGCATCTAAGAAAATATTGCTAAGATTACGTGGATTAGATATCAATATTTAATATATAATATGGTGAATGAATAAATTTAATTATTATTTTAAGTTAAATAGCACAGTTCTTGAACTATTCTATGATATTCCTCTGGAAAGAAATACCAAACGTTTCAAATTGCCTTCTACGCTGCATAAACTTGTAGATAATTTTTCAAGTTATAAAAAAGACTTGAAATAAACGTGTCTAGAAGGCAGTGCAGAACAATCTAGGCCACTTTGCTTAATTTGAGAAACGGTTTTGATGAAATTCATTACGTAAATAAATTTATGATCGTATTATCCAAAATCAATAGTTGATTTCCGTGCGAAGGAAAAATATATTAGTTATTTCAATTTGAGCACAGGTATTGTTAGATATAAAAGTCTTTGTCTGCACAATCAAAACAATTTTTATTTACTACTAATTAATATTACTTTTTAAAAATTTTAATTTATTTTCGGATTCCAGATAGCTGTTACAAAATTGTTAAAATTTCTGTACATGTTTTTTTCGTATGCATATTATGTATATTTTACATTGAATAATAATGTTTTTAATTTTAGGGAGCTATGATTTATTTTGGTAAAATTTCACTTTATTCTAAAGAATAAAAATATCGTACTTTTGGGAAAATTCTTATATAATATCTATTTTTTAATATTAACAAGTAATATTGTAATATTCATAAATTACAGACTTTAATAAAATTAATTAAAATTATATTAATCCTATATGAAAAATCATTCAAATGAAAGGGTTAAAAAGGTTATACACAGAATACAAATAGGGTGCGGCAATATTTCTTATCAGTCTTACGAGTGTACGTAAAAATGTGAAGTATACTAACCATCTAAAAACATTAGCTCACGAGCCTAGCTTAGATACTATTAATAGAATAAACAATATTGTTTTAAGATTTACAATTTATACTTTTCATATTTTATTAACACATATACATATGAATGTATATATATATATATATATGTGTGTATATGCATATGTTTGTGTGCGCGCGCGTGTCTGATATCTACACATAAGTAATTGAAAAATTAAATATTTTTATAAACATTTTTTAAATGATTAAAGATAATTTAATTATGTTAATTTTGAATATAAAAGAAAATTTCCGTCTATTTATAATATTTACGACATTTTATAATAATATAATTATAGTATACACATTAAATATCTAAAGCAACTTTAAACATAAACAAATATATGTGAAAGATTAATTTAATCATATAAATAAATCGTATATCATTAGAACAATATGACATTTAAATATCAGTAGCAAAATCTTATTGAAATTTGTAGAGTTCGATTTAATTTAAAATTCATATATATTACCTTGTGTAGATATTTGAATTATAAATATAATATTCTTCATTTTTTACACAAAACTTCAAAAAGTTATCGACATTCTGAATTATTTGGTTGGATTTACATCGATATTACACATTCTATAAATTTATTGAATATATATTTTTAAAACTTACTTTAACTATTCTTATGATTTATTTTATAAATCGCTAACAAACTTATAACACGAAATAAAATTCTTACAATATAATATTTGATAAAATTGTATTAAAAATACATATCATTTTTATCAAATTATATGAATAATATATATATACATATATATATATATATATAATTATAATTACTTTGCTTTGCTTTTTCATGCAAATACGTATAACTTTTACAATTATTTAATAAGTTTTTAAATGTTATTAATTTAATTATGGTAATGCACAGCCAGTTTTAATAAAAATTAGAAATGAAGTACAAAATTGTTAGTAAAGACATTTAAATTATCAAGGCTTTAAATTGATGCTATCACGTTTTGTGACGGTACCATAAAACAATATGTTGATAGCTGTTGATATATGTGAAATCTAGACTTTTAAATCTTAAGAAGTAAACGAATTACTTTTACAATAAAAAATATAAATTTATAAAAAAAAAATGTAAAATATATCTTTAGTTATGTCAAAGCGAGCATAAAGTTAAATTAAATTCATAAATAATTATCAACAATATTTTTCAATATAGTAAATAAAAAAATGACATTAGTTTTAGAAATGTTTCGAGTATTAAAAATCTATTAAGTAATACAATAATTATAAAAAAAATTTGTTAAATATATATATTTACAAAGATAAAAGAAAACTATATTATAATTTTACTTGAAAAATATATCATATAGAGTTAAAATAATGAGATTAATATATAAATAATAAGATGAATACATTTATTTCCTTTGGTCAATGTAAATCTAAAAAATAAGTTATATTTTTATATAAATTATTCTTATATTCTTATAAACATAAAATTCTTTTCGTAGTTGCCACATTTGTTAAATTATATTAAAATTGTTTGGTTACTAGTCTCATTATTGAAATTTGTGACATATGAACAAATGTAATTATTATTCGATTAATTAGATGTGTTAATAAAATATATTGAAAACTTATAATTTTTCGAACATTATTTTTGTTATTAAGTGATATATAAAAATTGGAATTATTAAGTTTTATTATATACTAATATTAGTATTACAAATTATTAATTATTGAATCATTTCAGTATATGATTGAAAAATTAAAATTTTTTTAATGTTATAAAGTTATAATTAAAGATACTTTTCTTGTTTTTATTTAAGTATACATATCTCATTTTACAAGTTTTTAAATATTTTAATATTTTATTACATATTCTGTCAATTTTTAGGTAAAATAATTATTAAATTTCGATTTTATTTTGAAGTGACTATAGTGGTATAACTTATATCTATAGCCCAATAGTAAATTTCAAAATCATCTGCATTAATTAAACAATAATACAAATTACCCAAATTAATTTTTTAATATTTGTTCATTTAAATAATATAATATATTCAAATAGAATATTTTATATGAAATTATTAAAATAACAATACTTCATTAAACATTTAAAATAATAGGATTAAGGAATAGGCATTTGATTTCGTTACTGAATTTGTTATTTGATTTATTCATTTACTCGATTATTGTATAGTTTGTTCCAACTTTATTTAGAAATATATGTAATAAAGAAAATATTCACTGAATTTTTAATAAATACATAAAATGAATGATATTTCAGGTTTAAGATAGTTACATTATGATTTTGATCACAAAGATTTGTATTTTATTCTTAGATCTTTACAATAAAATTCATTTTATAATTTGTAGACTTCATGACGTAGAAAGTGAGATGGATTACTGTAATAAAAATATATTTTTGCTAATTCATATTTGTAATAGGTTAACAAAATTTTGAAAATAATATATGACGATACATAATAATCATTACTGCATGCATTATTGTTAATTTTAAAAATGATGAAAATAATGAGATTGATATAACTAATATTGATATAATTAATTCTATTACAATGACAATTATATTAATAAAATAGATGAAATTATCATTAAGCAAGCACAAATAAAGCAATTTCCAACACCAATTTATATAGTATTTAATTTAAGCAATAAAGATCATATATAATCTTAACAAAAAAAAAAAAAAAAAAAAAAAATTAAAAAAACTAAATAAAATTCATCCTCCAGTTAGAATATTTTTAGAAATGATTTTAGTAAACTATTGAAAGATTCCATAAAATTTATAGCTGAACCACTAATGTAGACATGCTGACGATGAAATATACATGTACAAATATGTGACCATCCATTGTTGAAAGTTGAAGAATAAATGATGATATTAT